CCAGCTTTCCCACAGTTGTAGCAATTTCCATTGAACCGCTTCTTGCTTGGGTTGCTTTTCGGTCCAGAAGCCAGCTTCCTCTTTCTCTTATTTTGAGAAGTATCCTCAACAATGTTTGCTCACATTATTGTTGAGTTTCCACGGCCTCTCTTTTCAGCAGCTTTGTTGTCCTTTTCGATTCTCAACCGAACAATGAGATCTTCAAGTGACATCTCCTTGCGTTTGTGTTTCAAGTAGTTTTTGAAGTCCTTTCACAAAGGAGGCAACTTCTCAATCATCGCTGCTACTTGGAATGCTTCATTGATGACAAGACCTTCAGCAAGGAGATCGTGAATAATCACTTGCAATTCCTGGACTTGGGTAATAACAGACTTGCTATCTACCATTTTGTAGTCCAAAAATTTAGCGGCAACGAATTTCTTCAACCCGGCATCTTTAGTTTTGTATTTCTTTTCAAGCGCAGTCCACAATTCTTTAGACGTCTACACGCCACTGTAGACGTTATACAGATCGTTCTCCAGTCCGCTAAGAATATAATTCTTGCACAGAAAATCAGAATGCTTCCACGCCTCAATCACAAGAAAGCGTTCATTCTCTGGAGTTTCATCAGGCAGAACAGGAACAACTTCCTTGATGAACTTCTGTAGACTTAAAGTGGTCAAGTAGAAGAACATCTTCTTCTGCCACCGCTTGAAATCAAGGCCGGAAAATTTATCGGGTTTTTCCGCCGGTGCCAACGCCGGTGTTCGGCTTGTTGATGCATTGGCAGTCACCGTTGGAACAGCTTGGTTTTCGTTATTATTAGTCATTTTTATAAAAGAATGGCACAAGAACACGTTAAAATCACGTAGATTTTAATCTCCAACGGAGTAGAAAACCACAAAGGTTTTAATCTCCAAAACAGTGAATATAACACAAATACAGAAAATAATTAAATTCCTTAAGCTTGTTAGTAAACTGTATTTGTAAAATAATTCTGGAGAAAAAATAACATAAACAGAAATATAAACGAAACACAAATTAATCCGAGCTCACTGAATTCACAGTGTTTCCTTAAGGAATTTAATCCCCTCCTAGTACCCAAGGTTATGGATTTTTTCCTTCCAGTATAGAACGATAGCAAATCACACTTACTGTTGCTTTCTTTGAAGTAAAAAACAATGCAGAAGAAGGAGGAGAAACTCAGAAAATCGATGGAAATTTTGAGAGAATGGGCTTGTACTTATAGCCAATGTTGGGCTGAAAACTGAAGAGGTGCAACTCTTCAAAATGGTTGTTTATGCAAAATGGCCATAGCATAAATGCCATAACATAAATGGCTAATTTATGCAGTAATAAGCGGGAATTGAAGAGGGAAGTTTAATTTTCAGTTACACAACTGAAAACTGAAAAACGGTTGGATTTTAATATTAATACTAATATTAATATTCTGTTATTAAAATGATTATTTAATAACAATTCTATTAATATTTAATATTAACAAATAAATTTGGTCCAAAAAATTAATCAATGAATCGATCATTTGACCGAATCCAAATCCGAAGCCGAAGCCGAAGCCGAAGCCGAAGCTGAAGTCGAGCCGAGCGAGCGACGACGACGACGACGGCGCGAGGCTTGCCTTCTTCTCAACTCTTCAAGAGCTAGAAGAAGAGCAATTGCTTATATACTCATCAAAAACCTCTTCCTCTTCCAATATAGGACAATGTCCCTTTGTCAAGGGAGGAAACTTAAAATTTTACTTAAAAATTTCATTTCCCTCCATTTCCCATTCACCCTCTTTTAAGCCATATTCAATGCTTAAAACCCAACAGATACAACAATAACAACTCAAGGTAAGGGCACAAACGTATACACAGGAAACAGATTTCACATCATAATGCATGTCCCTCGTCCTCACCTGCACGGAAACACCCTCCGTGCCATGACCTCACAATAACATACAAGCATAACAATATAAATGAAATAGCACGACATCACCCTTCGTGCTTTTACTCTCAAATGATATGGCACGGCATCATCCTTCGTGATTTTACTCTCAATAGTGTGGCACGACATCACCCTTCGTGCTTTTACTCTAAATAATGTGGCACGGCATCACCCTTCGTGATTTACACTCCCCCTCACATGATAATATATAAACAATGGCACGGCATCACCCTTCGTGCTTTACACTCTTCCTTACTAAGCATATGCAGTATAATAATGACAAACAAGGCAGGAAGCATAAATGACATCAAGGAGAGTGTTTTAACGGATATTCCAAATAATTCCCAATCAAAACCTTCCAAGTCAACAATGATTCAACAATCCTCAAGAACCGTATTATTCAAATACTTCCACAAATCTCACAAATGATCCACAACACAATTATATAGTCTAGTATCTCAAGAATATCGACCGTAGTAATGTAGTAATAATTTCGCATAGAGATAACCGAATTAGACACATCAATGTATTCTCAGAATTCCCATCAATTTTGATCAAGTTATAATAAGCTGAGTCTTGATTTCTATCATTCAATATCATGTTCTTTGTATCTAAGAGTCAAGTAAGGCATGAAGCAAGAGGTCACGAAATTCTACAAACGTAAATGTAACATAATCCACCCCCCGAGCATGATTAACCCTAGCACATACATATACGCTCATCACCTCACATATGTATCACCCCCCGCATGTGGCAACCAATGACAAATAGGAGGAAAAATTCCCTCAACAAAGTTAGGCAAAACACTTACCTCAATTCGGCTAATCCAACACTCAATTTAGCCTTTTCCTCTACAAATTCGCCTCCGCTCGACTCAATCTAGCCAATGACGACTTGAATACACCACACAATGCAAGAGAAAATAATTTCAATTAATAAGCTATGATTTTTATTCAATTCTAAAAAGTCAAACCCCGGGCCCGCCCGGTCAAAATCCGGGTCCAAAGGTAGGTCTTGACTACCCATAGCCCCACGAGTCCAAATATGTATTTTCTTTTCAAATTCGAGTCATATTCGACTCTCAAATCTCAATTTTTCATTTTTCAAAACTTTGACAAAATCCCCAAATTTTTTCATAGATTTCTCATGAATTTGATATTAAATCTTGTATAAAATCATGAAATATAGTTGAAAATTGGTTAAAGATACTTACCCAATATTTTGGTATGAAAATCCCCTCTCAAAATTGCCTCACCTCGAAGCTAGGGTTCCAAAATATGAAAAATGAAGCAAAAACTCGAAATTCTCAGCACTTAACAGGCTGCAAATGTCGCATTTGAGACAAAACTTCGCATTTGCGAATGAACAGTGTTTTCGCAATTGCCATAAATGGTTGGCAATTGCGGATGAACAGTATTTTTGTAATTTTCATAAAAGGTTCGCAATTGCTAATGAACAGTGTTTTCGCAATTGCCATAAAGTGTTCGCAATTGCGAATGAACAATGTCGCACCAAAAACCAGCAAAACCCAAACTTCTCCGAAATGATCTGAAACTACCCCGAAACTCATCCGAAACCTCCCGGACACAAACCATATATGAATTTCAATCATAAAACACGCTATGGACCTGCTCGCGAACTCAAAATACTGGAAAGAGGTCGTCTTAACCCGATATTGACTATGGTCAAACTCCCAAATTTCTTAACTTTACTAGTCTCTCAATTAATGATCCAAAAATACACCCAAGCCCCTCGGGGCTCCAAACGAAAAGTGCACACCAGTCTAAAAATATCATACGAACTAGCTCGCGCGATCAAATCGCCAAAATAACACCTAGAACTACGAATTGGACACCAAATCAAATGACATTTTCAAGAAGGCTTTGAAATCTCTATTTTTACCACCGGACGTCCGAATCACGTCAAACCTACTCCGATTCCCACCGAATTTCACAGATAAGTCAAAAATATTATATTGGATATGTACCGAGCTCCGGAACCAAAATACGGACCCGGTATCAACAATGCCAAACATTCAATCAATTCTTAAAAACATTAGCTTTTTCAGACTTTTAATTTTCAATAAAAATTCATAACTCAAGCTAGAGACCTCGGAATCCGATTCTGGGCATACGCCCAGATCCCATATTTTAATACGGACGCACCGGGACCTTCAAAACACGGATCTGGGTCCATTTACTCAAAACGTTGACCTAAATCAACTAAAATTAACTTTTTAGGGGTATCTAGGGGTACCACTAAGCACCAAAAAACTATCAACAGTACAATGTGAGCCTCTAATTGATAGAATGCTGAATAGAATACAATGCTGGACAACAAAGTTCCTATCCTATGCTGGAAGAGAAGTGTTAATCAAGAGTGTACTGGTTGCAATCCAAAACTTTTGGGCTCAGATTTTCATCCTACCTAAGAAGATCATACAATTCATCAACACTATATGCAGAAGGTTCTTATGGTCAGGCAATGCAGAACATACAAAGAAGGCACTCGTTGCATGGAATAAACTATGATGTCCAAAGGTAGCAGGGGGTTTAAATTTCATCAATATTGAGCTATGGAATAAAGCAGCTATCTGTAAGCTACTATGGAATATATGCAAAAAGAAAGATAAGCTCTGGGTCCAATGGGTTAACATCTACTACATAAAGGGGAAGTCAATATGGGACACAGTACCAAAGAATGCATCATGGGTAATACAGCAGATTTTCAAGGCAAGGGAGTATTTTGACAATGCTGGATACACAGAAGAGGAAGTACAGAAGATGGAAAATTTCTCTATAAAGCACATATACAAAGCTACGCAAGGGGAGTTTCAGAAAGTGCCATGGAGGAGATTAATATGCAACAACTATGGATTACCAAAGTGGAAGTTCATGCTAAGACTGGCAATACAGGAAAGGCTAGCAACAAAAGAAAGGCTTAGCAAGATGGGGGATGCAAATTGATAACACTTGCTCATTATGCCAAAGAGAACCTGAAACTGTGCAGCACCTATTCTTTGACTGCGAGGTAACAGCAACCATATGGCAACAACTCTTAAAATGGCAAGGAATTCAAAGAACAAAGCTAGGATGGAAGGAAGAACTGGCATGGATAGAGAGAAAAGCAAAAGGTAGAAGTGGAGGAGCAGAATTATGCAGAATGTCCTTAGCAGCAGCAGTATACCATATCTGGCAAGAGAGGAACCTGGTAATATTCCAACAGAAGACTAGAGCAACCAAAGCCATAATTAGAACAATCATCCAGGAAATCCATGTTAGAGCTACCATGTTTCCTAGATTAACAAAGACGATGAGCAATTTGAATTGGTACCCTGATGTAATGTAATAGTACAAGGCACAGGGAAGAAGAAGAGTAGGAAGGTTTGCAAAATCCTAACTGGGGCTGCATGTCCAGTGGGAGTCTTTTTGTTATGCTGTAAATATTTTACACTTGGTAATAAAATTATTTAATTACCAAAAAAAAAGACAATTTTAAATAATTACCATATAATAATATTTTTTAAAATATAACAACTTAGGAAAATAGGAATGCATTAATTAGACTCATATTTTAATCTCTCTCTACCATCTAATTCTAATTCTTTTCTTTCGCCATCTTTCTACAACCTTCAATTCATCCACCGGCGCTCCCCAACTTCGACCACCGAACTCCCGCGATCATAGTCCTCTTCACAAATTGCCGGAGTTGATTTCTCCTCCTCCTCTTTCGTCCTCCTCTTTTTTCTCTTTTGATGCACTTGGCGGCTAACACGTAGTGATTTCTATTTTTTGGATTTCTTCTCTTCCTCCTTGGCCGAAGGAGAGTTACCAACGACATTATTTTTATCGATGAAATAGATCTGTCCAAATCTTAGAGTGAATCTCTTTTCTTCTTTCTTTTTTTGAATGGAAGTAGTCTTTTATTTTTTATATGTGGTAGTTTATGATAGTCTTGTGAGGTGATTTAAAGGTGAAAATAAATATATGTGTGGTATCTTACTGTATATCTGATATATATTTTATGTATATTTGGTGTATCCCGGGTTTATGTTATTGTATATCCATTGTTGTATGTACAATGGCAAACACATGACATACAAGTACATAAAATGATAAACAAGTGTGTATATCATTGTAGATTGTGTTTATATTTTTTTAATTATAACTGCGCGCGTGCTCTCTCTATATATATATTCAATAATTATTTTTACTTTAAGCGATTAGATGAACAGCTATTTAAATTAGTTCGAACTCTTTTGTCAAATTTAGCAACACGTTAACCTTAGGAGTGGGCCTAAGGAGGCTGGTTGGGGTACACGTAACAAAGGAAATTGGGTTTTTGTGCTTGAAGTCATTCTACATGAATGGTGCTAAAGTGGGGTGTGTAGTAAAAGTGATCTTGAATTCCCTTGTAATACAAAATAAGTAAACAGACGGGTCGGGTCGAATATGGGTAGGTCGAAAATGGATAATATCAAAAGGATAAATAATCGATCGACTCATATTTAATACGGATTCATAGCTTCTTGAAAATGATCACTTTTGGGAAAATTCCTAATCTCCCAAACTTGAAGAACCTCCCAATTTGAGTCTTTATAAATTTAAAAGTTAAACACATTGGTTATCAATTGGTTATTATTTTTAAGTAGATAATATGAATCTTATCCATCTTTGATCCATTTTTGAAAGGTTCATTATCCAACCTATTTTTAGTGGATAATATAAATGAATAACTATTTTTTTATCCATTGTCCACCACTAGGCAGGACAAACGATATGGTACCCCTTCATAGTTTATATTAGTTTGAGGCTTTGGGTTCGAGGTTTGAGAATAAAAATGTCATGACCCAAAATTTCAACCATGGGGTCGTAATGGCACCTAACATCATCTTGCTAGGCAAGCCAACACTAGCACAATAATTAAAGCTGTTTAACAGCTAAAGACATATTAATAATGATAAAGGGTGAAATCACATAAAACGTATCATAGGTCTACAACCATCGATGTCTAGACTATCCCAGTATCTGGTGTCACAAGTACATGAGCCACTAGTAATGCTAAATACAGTATTTAATGGAAGATACAACATTATCTGGTATAATAAACAGTAGATAAAGATAGGAAGGGGACTCCAGGACCTCCGAACGCTAAACAGTACTACCTCAAGTCTCCTGAGAAATGCTCCGAACAATCACCTTTAAACGTTGCTGGGACCGACACCGGGTTCTACACAAAAAGTGCAGAAGTATAGTATAAGTAAAACCGACATCATGTACTCAGTAAGTATCGAGCCTAACCTCGACTAAGTAACAAGACAATCATTATAAACATGTACGAGTAATAAGCAAAAGCAATACCAATATAGAGAAACGAGTACCTACACAACAAACAAAATAAGAAATTTGATAACAAAGGGCCCCGTAATAATATCACATCATAAATTCATAACACAACACGACAACAGAGCATAACAACAAAGAATAAGTACAAGATATACTTTCTATTGCGGCACGTAACCCGATCCGAATATCAATAGCAGTACCATTGCGGCACGCAACCCGATCCCAATATCAATAACAACACTGTTGCAGCACGTAATCCGAAAACAATATCAATAGCAATACCATTACGGCGTACTACCCGATCTCAATATTAATAATAATACTGTTGCAGCGCGCAACTCGATTTCAATATCAATTCATTTGAAAATTCCTAATAACAACCAAATATGGCGAATCTCAAACATAACATATAAGAGAGATAAAAACACATAACTCACCAAGGAAACATGAGCTCGAACAAAGAAGATCAAACAATTTAATGTTTCATGAACTAGCCTCATAATATATGTCAATAAGGACTTCAACGAGTCGTAAACACGAGAATAATCTAAAGATAACATAGTACAGTGAAACGAGAAACAAGTAAAGGCAATGAGGCAAGTAAAGGCATGAGTCATGTAAAAACATCTATCTAATAACATGTAAGAGCGTGTAACAAGTAAAGATGTATGATAAATAAAGGCATGAAACAAGCTAGAACATGTAAAAAATAAAGACATGCAACAAGTGAAGGCACATATATCAAGTAAAAACATATATCAAGTAAGATAACATAACACGCAAAAATAGAAAATAAGTAAAGACATGGTATAGTTTGAAGACATGCAATAAAGTGGTACACCTCGCATGCTTCAACCCGTGGCAACGCATATACACTTGTCACCTTGCATATATGTCGCCCCAACACATAGATCACATAACATATTGTGACGACCCAAAGGGTCATCACCTGTATTCCTACTCGCTCTGTATTTCTGAAGCCATAAAAGCCTCATTTGGGGTTGCCTCGAGTTGTGTGCGCAGTCCGGGCGCATAGCCGGAAAAGTTTAAATGTGGAATTGTGAGAAAAATAATAAATTTGATGTTTTAAATTGATTGAGTTTGACTTTGGTAAACGTTTTGGGCAAACGGACCCGGACTCGTGATTCGACAGTCCCGGAGAGTCCGTAGGAAATCTTGGGACTTGGGGGTGTGCCCGGAATCAAATTCTGAGGTCTCGAGTCCGAGGAATGAATTTTTGTGTAAAATTATTTTCTGATAATAATTAAAGAATTGGAAAGTGTTATTTGTTTAGAAGACTGTGCTGTTGGGCTCGTATTTTGATTCCGACGCCCGGCACAAGTCTTAAATATGAGTTAAGCAATTGCTGTAAAGTTTGGTTAGATTTGGACGTCATTTGACGTGTTTTGAGCTAGAAGCAGTAAATTTGATGTTTCATGGAAATTGGAAGGAAATCCTGGGTCTTGAGGCCTAATTTGATGCTTATGATGTTGTTTGGGCAATTTGATCGCACGGATGAGTCCGTAGGATATTTTTGAGTTTATATGTATGTTCGGTTGGGAGCCCCGAGGGCTCGGGTGAGTTTTGAGTAGGTCCCGGGAGGTCTTAGGCTAGAAAAATAACAGATGGTTGCAGGTTCAGGGTTTGCAGGCCCCCAGCGCGGCCGCGGTCATTTCCGCGCGGCCCGCACTGGAGC